TATTGGCCACGGAGTGGCTTTTGTGACGCGGGCAATGGGTGGGGAAGCCCCCACCTAGCTGAGTCGTCATCTACTTATTTGCCAATCAACATGACCTCATCCACTGGCCCAACGTGGAGCCAGCACCAAGTAGACAGATGCCCTGGGTAGGGGGGGTGGCACATTGATAGGGAACCTTCAGCGCAAAACCTGGGTTACAGGGCTTACACAGGATTTTGTCGGTATTGAAACCTTTATCACCATAGGGACCGTGAGGACCAGTTAGATTGCCAGACCAAAGAGTGCTCGCCAGTAAGTGTGTCTGGGTGATCAGGTCCAAAGCTGTGGCAAGGGCCTTGGCATGCAGGCAAGATGCCAGCAGACCCCGTAGGAGGTGGTACTCCTCATGCTGGACCAGAGCAGGGTGTAACCCATCCAATGCACAAAAAATGTTAGAAAGAGGCCAACAAGCAAGCAAAAGATGGGGTCAAATGACACACTGGCAGTGTGTGGTTTCCAGGAGGGAGGCACAGTGGCTGCTGGAGTGTTGTGGGCTGTTCGGGGGGTTGTTGAGTCAATAGAAGGAGGATAGGGGGGCACTGGAAGTGGGCTGGTGCAGGGGCAGGAGAGGGGGCAGTCTGTTGGTGTGGATGTTGTTGTAGGAGTGGGATGTAGCATGGTTGTGTGTGTGTTGTAGGATAGAGGCGTGCCTCTGTTCAAGCGTGAGAACAAAGGCATCCTCCCTGGTAGGGTAGGGTGTGATTCAGAAGGGTGTGATCCTCAAGGTGGCTGCATGCTCTAGGAGCTGTTGGCTGATCATCTGGGAGTGGTGTTGTTGTGTGTAGTCTGTGGGGGATGGTGGATGTGGTTGGGTTGGTGAAGTGTGGGAGTGTGGGAATGTCTGTGAGGAACTTGGGTTTGAGTGAGGTAGTGGGTAGACAAGGGGAAGACATGGTGGGTGGTTAGGTGGGTTGGTGGGAGCGTTGTGTATCCTGGAGTATGTACTGTAGTGTCGTTGCTTCAACGCAAGCAATTGAGGTTGCTTGTGAGGTGGCGAAATGATTGATGTGGAAGGGTGTGTTCAAGGGTCAATGCACTGAGGCACTGGTAATCAAGGTTATATTCAAGTTGGTTGGGTTTGTTGTTCCACTGGATCAGAGGCTGTGGCCAAGTCTGGTGCAGGTATACCACTATCTGCAGGAGAAGATGGTATCAGAGCCAAAGGCTGGTAGGGATTCTTTCAGGGGAAAACTGGAGAAGTCACGCTAAAGCCAGTAGAGGGCGTTGGTGGGGGGGTCAAGGGTTGTTGTTGGTTGATGGGGCTGTGTTAATGGTTGACACTGTGTTGTCTCAAAGGCTGGTACTCATTCTGTTGTAGGGATGCAAACTGCAACAGAGAGTCAAGCCAAGATGTGGAGAGGTTACTCAATTCAGGTTGGAACTGTGGAAAGTCACTTGAGAGTCACTCAACAATCAATGAGAGAGAGATAGAGTCAGTTATGTATTAATATCTATGCCACACCCAGCTGCAGGTTCTGTCTGTGGCTCAATCCTTTGGAGTTCTTGAGGCTCAGTAGGAGAGACAGATATGGGCAGAGAGGTGGCTGTTCAATAAGGTGTTTGCACCAATTCTGTTATAACCAGGGGGGCAACTTTTGTAGTTGGTTCTTGTGGGGTGAGATCCTTTGGAGAGGAGATGGATATCCCAGGTGGGGATGTAAACCAACCAAGAAAGAAGCCGAGCCTGGAGATAGCAAAACTCAAGTCCTTACAGGAACACTGTTGTTGTTTGTTGTCCCTCTTGGAGAGGAGTTATATATCAATGTATGAGTGGTAACATTAGCAGGTGTCGATCAGTAAATCAGTCTGTATAGGGATAGGACTGATTGGATCAGTAGGATCAATTCCAACAAGGACGTCGGAGAAACCACTAGTGGCCGGGTAGAAAGTAAGAATACAGGTTTAATTCTCTTCTCGTTGGTCACCCCAACCACACAAAACACCACAAGCAAAAACCCTCACCCCCCCCCAAACCACCCCAATGCAGGTATCTCGTAAAGTCCTGCTTGATGATAGGAGGTGGCGTACGGAGGAAGAGGTACGGTCGCGGGAAGATTGATCGCTTCACGGAGTAGCGAGTCTGGATTCGATTCGATTCGTTGAATCGAGTCGATTCGCGGTTCGGGTGAGCAGGGTGACAATGGGATTTCTTCGGACGTCAGGAGCTTAGTTCAGAAAGCAACAATGACACGTATGGGAGTTGTTTTCTGTACTGTGCTGTGGAAGGCCGGAGACTTCTGCTTGTTGGTCAATTTTTAGGATCAGTTCCAACAAGGACGTCGGGGGAAACCCAGAGTGGCCGGTGAGAAAGTAAGAATACAGGTGTAATTCTCTTCTGGGTGGTCACTGCAGGTATCTCGTGAGTCCTTCTTGATGATAGAGGATGTCGTTCGATCCGTACGGAGGAAGAGGTACGGAGAAGAGGTACGGTCGCGGGAAGATCGATCGATTCACGGAGGTGAGTCTTGATTCGAGGATCGATTCGAATCATCAAATCGATTCGATTCGCGATTGAAGATTCGAATGAGTCAGTTGCCTTAGGGGGAAGGTTAACCGAGCCTGTTATTGTTGGTGTTCGGTCGTTCGAAAAAGGATCGGCCGACAATGGGATTTCTTGGGCCGTCGGCAGTGAGAGAACAGAAAGTAACAAATGGGTATGTGTTTCTCTTCTATTTTAGGAACTGCAAGAAAGACGGAGACTTCTTTCTTGTGTTCAATTTCTCCAACTTGGCCGTCCGGTGGTCGAGAATAGAAAACCCGCCGGATCTCATTAGGATTTCAATTGGATGGCTTTCTAATCTGAACCAGAGGAGGCCGCTTTGATAGTCGCTTGATAGCAGAGGTGCAGGAGATAGGAGGTATCGATCCTGTCAACCGGGGGTTGAATGAGGGCTTGAAGGAGAGATAAAGAGAGGAAAAAGGATGTATGTTTTCCGTGATGACGTTGCGTGGATTCCTATAGTAAACAGTACTCTTCAACGAATAACAGATAACAAGCTTGCTGAGGTCCTTTCGCTTCATGTCAATGCTTCTAATGGTGCTACTAGGTAGTGTAATGGTATAGTTATGACCGATAGGTTGTGTTAGTTGCTATTAGTGTTGTTATTCTTGTAGTGACAGATCCAGAAGGGAAGCGCTTTGGTTTTCTGCTTCCCTTGAAAAAGTAGGAGTATCCACTCTCCTCTGTGCTTGTGTTGTCGTGTAGTCTCCTTCTCTTGTTTCCATTCAATGACTCGACGACGATCCGTCAGGACTGTTGGTAGGGCTTGGAGTAACAGTCTCCTCGGTAGTGGTAGCCTCTCCTCTTCTTGTTCTCCGGAGCGACCGATCGGTCGTTCGACAATGGGATTTCCTCGGACGTCAGCAGTGCAGCAGAGAAAACAACGAATAGATATGAGTTTTGTTTTCTGTTCTCAACTGAAGAAAACCGGCGACTTACCCTTGTTTTTCAAATTGCACCAACTTGGCCGTCATTGGCCGAGAACTGACTGCCATCCATGGTCCATAGGATTCAATGAGGGATGGCTTTCGCTTCTGAACCAGAGACAGCCGGCTTGCAGTGAGGCTTGATACTACCGGTAGAAATAATAGAGGTGCGAGCGATCGTAATTGAAACAACTCACCTGTTGTCGGCTCACCTGTTGTCGGCAAAGCTTGGATTTCTCTCCTGTTTACCATACTAAATGAATGAGGGAGAGAAGTCAGCGCTATACCTTCAATAACGGGCTTGAATAGATACAGCGTACTTTGAATCGATGGACCTTAACCTTAGTAACTTCAACCGTTCCTTTATCCACGAATGCGATCTAAATCTTTCAAAAGGGAACTTTTTACTTAACGATACACATGATCCGGTTGATTTTGCAACTGAAGTGCGGGTAACATATTTACACAGTAAAGCGCGAGCAAATCGATTTTGGCGGTGCAACTGAGGGGGTAACCTAAGGAGCACGCATCTCAGGAGACGGTAATTCTATTCTGATCCGATGTTGGCCTTCATAATGCACACCGAACAGTCATCATCCACTTGCCGATGCGTATAGTTCACGGAGACGATTGCTTTTAGTGGTCAACAGGTACCGAGAGAACTGCAGGTTGACTTTACGCTGCTACTTAGGGCTCTGGTTCAAGTCCTCGTTTTGCAGATTACCTTGGATAGTCAACGTATACATGCACATAACGCCGTTTTTACATTTTGATGATGGGCGGCGTCGAAGTGATGCGGAGCACAATAGTTTCAATTAGTAGCGGTTGCGTAATATACAATAGTATTAATCGGCGAACAGGAGTCTAAGTCCGATGCCACTCTATGAATCTTTTATACCCTGAGCCTTATACCGTGTCATTTATCCACTTTCGAGGCCGCGCGATCAGCGTGCCAAAGGCCATCTGCCGCCGCCCTTCGTGGTGATTGGCGGTCGTCTCTTTCGATCTCTTTTAGCTGCTCACAAGTGGTTTTGTTGTGTCTCGTTCAGCAACCCTTGTGGTTCTTGTGGTTCTTTTGTTCCTTTCTTCCGGCTGCTGTCTATTTGACTACAAAGCTATCCCTTCATCCACCCCATACTAGCTGTAATTGCTGTGCCTCGAAGGCTTTGATTATTAGCACAGCCTTCGACCCAAAAACAATCCATCAATCTTCCAAACGAATCTTTGTCGGAGTGGCATTTCCAGTCACTGTGAAAAAGACCTTTACGCTCTCATCTTGCACATCATTACATTACCCAACAGCAATCCACAGCTATACAGTCAACAAGAACAGTATAGCAACAGCACTGGCTTTAGCTAGCTAGCAAATAACAGAAAGCAGGATCTTGAGTGTCCTGTTGTCGACGAAAAACCAGATCTTGTTGTCGCTTGCGTTCCAGTGAGCAACAGCAAATCAACAATCTCCCTACAGAGTGAGACTATCTCTCTCTCTACACACACGCACACATTACAGTATAGTAAAACGTAGCAAGACAATGGACAACGGTCCCCGCAACTCTGGTGGCAAAATGTCATTGATGGACATTCAAGCCGAACAAGAACGCGAGCGCTCGTATGGCAACAACAATCGCCGTGGCAGTCGCTCGTCTTATAATAGTAACAATAACAACAACAACAGTGGCAACAACAACAACAACAACAACTATCATCGCAGCAGCAGTGGAGGTGGAGGTGGAGGACGCCGTGGAAGTCGCCGTGGCTCGGATCGATCGAGTCTTCCGTTGGAACGTGGCTGTATCTGCAGTCTCAAGGAAAAATTTGGTTTCATTCATTGTGCCGATCGTCCCAATGAAATCTTTTTCCATTACAGTGAAGTCACCAGTCCTCATCCGGATCATTTGCAAATCGATGACGAAGTGGAATTCCGCGTGGGCAAATCGAGAGACAATCCGGACAAATTGGCCGCCTTGGAAGTCGTTCAGTTGCCCACTGGCTCCATTGAATGGGAGTACGAAGAGACTCCTGGAAAACGCTTTCAGGGAATCATTGATCGTCCATTGATGAGAAGTGGAAGCGGCAGCAATGGAAGAAACAACAGCGACAACAACAACAACAAATAGTAACAATAGTAATACTATGAGGGTCTCATTCGAGTGTTGGTGCCGGCTGACGAAAAAGAGGAAGACGATACTGCCGACGAACAACCCAAAGATGGCAAAGACGATAAGGACGACAACAACAAAACAGAGACAACGGCAGCTGCCGACGCCATGACGGCAGGACCCAAGATTCGATTCACGTCCAACGACTACAACCCCGAACCGGACGACACTCGCCGAAACTCCCTGTCGTCCAACACGGCTCGTCTCTATCGTGGAGATTTGGTCGAGTTCACCTTGGTCATGGAAAAGCGTACCCGCCAAAAGTTTGCTCGCAACATTGTCCTTCTGCAGTCCGACAGGGAACGAGCCAGGTTGGCCAAAGAAGAACAAATGCTGGCCAATGCCACGCTAGAACGTGGAGTGGTCGTCAGTCTCAAACAAGATTTTGGCTTTTTGAGAAGCAATGCGCGACGCGAGGAAGTCTACTTTCATTACTCGCAAGTGCAGTTGCCCGAGAAAAAGGAGGGCGACGACGAAGAGAATAACAAGGACGGCGAAGAAGAAGACTATGAATTAAAGGTCGGACAAGATCTCGAGTTCTTGGTCGTCAGGGAGGAAGTGGAAGAGCGCAACAATAGCAATAGTAACCATGGCGGCGGTGGCGGCTTTCGCAAAGTCAAAACAAGTGCGCGAAAGGTCAAGTTCCTTCCCAAAGGAACTGTGGAGTTTGAAAAGGTCATTGCCGAAGGTGTCACTGGCGTTGTCGCCATTGTCCCACGTGCCGATGCCGGAAGAGATCAAAGAAGCTCTAGAGATCGAGACCCTCAGTCGTTTGGGACGATCCGCCTGCCCAATCCTTTGAGTATTGAGGATGTTGTTTCAAAGGATAACAAGGAACAAGTCGAGGTGAAGAAGGTGTTGTTGAATGTGGCGGATGCTCCCGGTGGACTATTTTCCTGTGCCAGAGGATCGTCCATGGGTTTGTGGATCAGGGTGGGAGATACTCTTTTGTTTGATATCATATATGATTTTGTGGACAAGGCATACCTGGCCAAGCCCACGAAGCATTTGGTGCCTGCGGGGAGTGAATTGGCAAGCAAGGTTGCGGCGGAAACTGCTGTTGAGCAACCTGTTGACGGCAAGGAAAATGCCAACAATGGAGCTCCTGCCAAGGAAGGAAGCATCAAGGAGGACAAAGACGCCCCCGACAGCAACGGCAACAATCAGAAGGGCAAGTTCAAGAAACAAAGCAGTGGCGGTCCAGCCGGTGCTGCCGTCCGGTTGGTCCGTCTCTGTTTGGCAGGACGCGCCGAAGGAATCGTCCACACAACCAAGGAAGCCTACGGTTTTGTCCATTTCGCGGAGCGTCCAGTGGATGTTCATTTCAAGTTGTTCGAAGTTCTACCAGACGTTCTTCAAGAAGATTTGCGACGTAATATGGGCTTGACCATGACTCTCAACACCAAGGCAGAAATGATGGGACACCATACCCTCAGTGTAGGAACGGAAGTTCAGTTCGATCTCTCTCTTCAGGGTACCGTCATGACGCAAAATCAGCACCATAATCGAGGTAACAAACGAGGCGGGAATAACTCCAATCAACACGAGCGAGAGAATTTGAAGGCGCAGCGAATATTGATTCTGCCAAGAGGAACCATCATGCAGAACCACACGATTGGCTTGGGTATCAAAGGCACCATCACGAAAGAAGATCCCAACCAACCCTATGCTGGAACTCTCGACTTGGCGGAAGAATACCAGCAAATGAGCATCGAACAGCGACACCCGCTGGTCTCGACAATGATCAACGAGTTCATGGAAGACAAAGAGACGGACTCGCTGATCTTTCATGACACCCAATCCCTCAGAGAGGAAGATGTCATTGCGGAACTGATCGAGTGCAAAGGCCTAGGAACCAAGTTGGAATTGTCGTACATCCCCCAGGCCGCCGAAACCCAGGGCAGGCTGTGCATTCGCAAGGTGGATAAGTCGGCCAAGGCGGAAATGGACAAGTCGGCCACGTCTACGGGCGGAGCTTCTGCCACGAACGCAGACGAAAACGAGTCCAAGAACGATGATGAAGCCAGGCAAGAGACGAAGAAGGAAGAAACCAAGGAAGCAGCCGGACAAGAAACGAAGGAAGAGGCGTCGCCCAAGGGACAAAACAGATCCAGGTCACCGAAAGGTGGTCGATCCAAGTCTCCCAAGGGACGGGCCTCAAAGAAGAAAAAAGCATTGCAGCAGAAACTTGTTCCGATCAAAACGATCCGGTACGACAAGTCGAGTTTGCAGCAGAATGCAAAAACGGATGTGCCTCCCGGCGCTGGAGATGTGATTGTGTGTGATTTGCACCAGAATCGCCGCACCGGGAAGACGCATATAGAGAATTTGAGCGTGGTGGAACGCAAAGTGGTGGATGCAGCTGAAGCGGCAACCATTGAAGGGTCCAACGGCATTGGTGTGGTGAAGGAAGTTGTTTTGGCGAGCAAGTTTGGCTTCATCTCTGTGTCAGACGAAACAGCCACAAAGAGAGAGTTGCTCTTCTTCCACTTTGCCAATGTCATTGAAGGGAACCGTCCCAACCAACTCCACATCAATCATGGTCGGAACAAGAAGGGAGGAAGCGGATCTGCTGACGCCATCATCCACAAGGGTGATGAGGTGGAATTCAAAATTGGCACGGAGAACGGTAAACGTGTTGCAGTAGAAATCAAGGTAGTTTCTGCGGGCGCTATCCCCAACAAAGTTGACAAGAATGCCTGTCGCGGCTACATTATGGTAGAGCCGACAGACACCAAGGTTGGCTCGACCCCCAAACCATCTCGTTCGTTCACCCGGTCTCAAGATACCGGTACCCCGCAACCGAAAGGAGGAAGGTGGGACAACACCACCTCCAAGGAAGAAGATCATTTGGAGAAACTCGGCAACAAGGGCGAAGGTGTGATCCTGTTGCTGGAAGACGCCTCTGACATGTTTGCCGCCGTGGTCGAGAAGTTTGTTGGAGGAGAAAAGAAAGAAGAGAATCAGGACAAGAAGCCTAGCAGCGTTGAGGGCCTCGGTAAATGCCACTTGAATTACCAGAACGGGGCCCTTGCACTGCATGGAGCAGGGGCGCCGACGACCATGGACGGCTCCACGCATCCTCGTCGTGGCGACCTGGTGTCGTTTGTGAAATCCAAGAACAGCGCCAGCGGAGCACGTGATATTCGTGTTGTTACTCGTGCTGCTGCGACGCTTGTTCGAGGAAAACTCGAAGGCATTGACCACCTGAAGCAGACCGCCAGGGTGGTTGTAACAGGAGATAATGCAAAGGAATACGAGGTCCAGCTCCGTGAGGTAGTTAGCTGTGATCCCAAGCAGTTGAAGAACGGAGTGGATGTTGAAGGGATCCTGCACGGGGATGCTATTCACGGTCTGTGTCGTACCACTGACCTTCGACTAGAGTCCAAGTTGGGGACTGGCAAAAAGGAGCGTCCCAAATTGAATCTAACGGTGAAGAAGGATCGCGGCGGTAAAATCATGGCACAATCCATGATGGCGAAGGTAAGAAACGAACAGGCTGTCGCTGAATTCTCTGCCCTGTTTTCTGCGCTCATTTGGATTTTTGCGTCTTTATCCACGATTTGCACTACAAGGGTCCCGATGGCACCAATGGATTCCTCTCGGGCTGGACGAAGCGTGTAAGCCAGTATGCCTCTTAACTCAGTTGGCTACTAAACTCTGTTAGCTGTGTAGGCAAACAGGCGCAAACGGTACGGTACACTGGAAGTAGAAAGCGCTTCGACCCTGCGGAACAATAAGCTAGCAGCTTTTTTCTGCGATATTCAAACTACTAGTGTTCTTCTCCGAAGGAAGTGAGCAAACAAGCATGGAGTAGCTCATGAGCCTTCGAGCATAGAGTTGCTTCGTCGTGGGTTCTACTAGTCCGACGCATCACTGCGCCCAAAACTTCGAATCAATCAGCAAGGACTCGACTCATTGTGCCAATATCAAGAGCATGCGTTCGATTCGATTCGTCCCCAACATCCGGATCCCCTTGCTGTGGGTACAATTCTTCCATGCGTCGCCTAATGGTCGCAGCCGACGAGGGAAGGCTCTTCAGGAGAAAACGAAAGGTCTTGATGTCTGGCTCCACCTCTTCGTTGTCGCAGAGTTCTAAAACCAAAGATGTTGCACGGTCGGCGTCGCCATGCTTCAGCCAAGCTGTGATGACAGCAACAAAGCTGTGCGAGTTAGGTGTCAACGTATCTTCAGCGGCATGGCTTCTCGACTGCATTTCTCTGAAGATTCTTTCACATCGCTCGGATGCATCGTTGGAGGGCTGTGCAGACGACGCAAGGCACTGCATCAAACAGTTGAAACTCAAAACGTTGGGCTTTGCATCCAATTGCCCAGCTTCAAACAGCTCCCCCATCCTCGCAATCGCTCTCTCTGCTTTCCCTAAAGCAGCAGAATGACGAGACTTGGAGTATGCCGCTAACAGAGAATTCCACGAGATCAGATTTGGCTTCACTACAGACGTTTCCCCCATAGCTTGGCTTTGACGATTCATCTCTTCCAATAGAGACTCTGCTTTCTCGTAGTCTCCAGATCTCGAAAAGGCTGCAATGACAGTATTGTAGGACACAGTAGTGGGCGCGATGTCGCTATCTCCAGAAGCCCGCATGTCTCCTAAAATGGAAAGGGCCCGGGCAGCAGAACCTTGCAAGCCGGAGTTGCCCCAACAATCCAGCAAATGGTTGTAGCTTCTTTCGTCGGGCTTAACCGGGGCTCCAGATGTGTTGTGAAGACGACGCATCCTTTCCAATAGAGCTTCAGCCCGAGCTGGAGCATCAGGAGTGGAGTTTTGCCTAGCGTATTGTGCCCAGGCCCGTAGCACGCTGTTAAATGCTCGGGTTGTTGGTTGCAGACCTTTTCTCTTGTGCCCTCTCCTCACGTATTCTTCAATCAAGCGTTCCAAGATCTCTTCGGATTTCTCAGCATTGCCAGTATTCGCATATGCATGCATCACAGTAGTGTACGAGATCAAGTCTGGTCTGACACTGGCACCCTTCGGCGCCACTCGATCAGGCTCATTGGATGACAACCGCTCCATCTCAAAGAGCAAATCTTCGGCCACTTGGGAAGAGACTGGATCTTTTGACCTTGCCAGGCAGTTCAGGACGACGTTGTAGCTAGCTACATTTGCAGCAACTCCAGTCAGTTCTTGGAGCTCCTCAAGTTTTTGTAGCAATAGCTCGACTCTTTCACTATTTGTTTTGACTGTTGGCGAGTTGGTCCACGCCTTGAGGAGAGTTGAAAGAGTGTCGAAACCAGGAGTGACTCCTGGTGCGTCTTTCATTCGTTTTGCCAGCTCTTCACAACCCACTCCGTCTCCAAGATTTGCCAATGCATTTAGCGAAGTGTTGTAAGAGATGCTGTCTGGGGCAGCAGTACCGCCACTTTGCTCCATCTCTTCCAATATCTCCAAACATTTTGCCCCCGCATCGCTTCTACCAGACTTTGCCCAGGAATTCATGACGACGTTGTACACAGTAGTGTCAATGGATCCTGACAAATCTCCGGCCAAAGACAGTGCGTGCATACGTTCAAGCAATGCTCCAGCCTTTTCCGGGGCCCCGCGCTTCGCCCATGCTGCCATTACAGTAGAGAAGAGCTGCACAGTCGGCCTCAAGCTCTGAATGCCTCCATCGTCCTTCAACTTTGTATCTTGCTGGTAGTAGCGGTCGCAAACGCTTTCCAGGACCTTTTCAGCATGTTCTGCTTTACCAGCAGCTCCATATGCCTGGACTGTGCAGGAATAGGAGACAATGTTTGGCGTCAATCGTGGATTTGGCTGCATAGTTTCCATCAAAAGTCTTTCACACTCTTCTCCTGCTCCCTGACGCCCCGACTTGGAGATGGCTTGTAGGAGAGCATTGTAACTTCTCACGTTTGGGTGCACGCGAAAGTTTCGCCCCAAAAGACCCTTGTCCGAAATCTCCTCCATTCGCTGTATCACCAAACGTATTCTGTCGACCGCATCATGCTGTCCGGATTTCGAAAGCGCCAACAGAACCGTGTTGAACGCCAACAAATCGGGCCGAACATCTGGATTTTTGCGTTGCATGTATTCATCCATCATTTCCCCCAGCAATTCTTCCACCCGTCTAGCGTTTCCAACCTTGGCGTGTGCCTTCATGACAATGGAATACGTGACCGTTGTGGGACGAACGGTGTTTCCTGCGTTGCTCGATAATCGTTTCATGGTATACAAAATGTTGTCGCATCGTTCCGTGGCATTTGGCACCTTGCCGACTTGTTGCGCCCAACTCTCCAAGAGAATGGAATAAGTGAATTGATCCGGTGCAACATTGTTGGGCAATGCCCCATCAGCATGCAGCTGTTCCATCAACTGGAATTGTTCTTCGACGCCGGCGTAATTCCGCGCCTTGTTGAGTGCCGAAAGTACCAAGTTGAACGATTTGGTGTACGGTGCTACTCGTTCCTCTTGTGTCTCTTGATATAGTTCGTACATTTTCTGCAGCAACGCCGATGCCTCGTCCGCCATTCCACGTTTCGAGTACATTTCCAACAGAATATTGTAGGTTTGCTTGTCCCGGAGTTCCACGGGCATTTCTTGTCGAAAGAGTCGTTCCGCTTGTGCAATGGGCTCCTGCACGAATGGATTGTGCAAGAGGCACGTTAGTAGCGTATTGTAGGTTCGTACAGTGGGTGCCGTGTCGAGTCCACGTGTGGAATGATAGTCTTGCATTTGAGCCATCACTTGACGGCATTGGTCCACGGTTTGTGGCGATTTGGGGCCTCTGGCAAAGGCGTTTAGCACGTGTTGAAAACACTCTCGATTGGGTGGTGTATGCGCCATTTTGTTGTTGTTGTCGTCATTATCATTTTGACTGTTTTCGTACAAGTCACAAATTTTCTGCAAACAGTTCTGTGCTCGAGTCCCCTCCCCAATATACTCCCATGTTTGTAACACGGTCGCGTAGTTGACTGTATCGGGAAGAATGTTTCGTTGTGGCATTTGTTTCCACAAGATGGATTCCAAGTAATCTACCTTGGCAATCAGTTCGGGAGTTGGTAACACGGCCATGTATCCTCCAGCATGATATTCCTGACTGTGTTTGGTGGAGGACGATGCCATTCGTACCGTTTGTCTCGCGGCCACATCCATAATCATGGCGTAGATGCGGGGATTCATGAGCAGGATTCCATTGCTATTGGATGGATCATCCACCAATGTCTCTAGCCTTTGTAGAAAGTCCTCGTGGAAAGTGTTTTGTGGTGGCAGCTGTTGCTGCTGTGCTGTTCTCTTTTCCAACTGTTGCCAATGGCGGGTGATTTTGTCGAGCCATTTGGTCCGTGTGAGAATCACCTTGGCAAGGCTGCCACATGGATTGTCTTGTTGATGTTGTTGTTGTTGTTGTTGTTGCGAAGTAGATTGCTGAGTAATTGCCATTTGTTCCTGGATCATCCTCTCCAACAACTCCAGTGCATTCTGTACCGTGTTGGCGTGTTCTTCTAGGGACAGATGAAACTTTTGTTGTTGTTGTTGTTGGCCCTTATTCTTGGAAGTGGCCAACCAAAATTCCATGACCTGTTGTGCATCTCTCCAATCTTGCGGATTCCAACTGGGCAGGGTTTTCAATTCTTGCAGCCGTTGTTGTGCGGCCTTTATCAATTCTTGTGTGTGTCGAAAGTCTCGATTGTTTCGTCGACTGTGTTCTTGCAGCCGTTTCTTATTATTTGAATTGGTGATGTTGTTGTATTGCTTATTACTCGCCGGGGTAGCTGGAATGGTATCTTGTGGAATTGACAAGCCTTCCTGTTCTCGGATACGTCGCAGGGTAGTGCTGCTATTGCTACTACTGCTACTTGTAGTATAATAATAGCAGTGTCCATTTAAGATGGTGTGGGTATATAGATCAGGGAGACACGGATGTGAAGATACTAGTGCCCCATTTGACCTCGGTAGACTCCCATCACCAATGGAAGGTATCCTTTGTCTTTTTCTGCTGGATGGTTGCCTGATGCCTGGTCCATTGGCCAGCTTCTTACTAAAGCCACGAGCTCTCCACATGGTCTTCTGTCTGCAAAATAAATAATCAGCAACATCGTCGCAACATCCATCAAAAAATCTTCAAAAGAGAATAGAAAAGATCTGCCTCGAGTTCGGGACTCAAATACGGGACTCGAAGACGATCTGAACCTAAAATTTGAGCGAGCCTCCTAATTACCGAAAAATGCGGGTCTAACCGTTAGGATGAACCTACCACTGCTTCCGACCCAGCGGCAGCAACGCTTCTTGTCTCATCCTGTCTCGATTTTGGGTTGACAATGGCGGTCAATGGCTGTTGAGCAATGCAAAAGAGAACAAGAAAAGACAATACATCCACCCACCCACTAGCTAGACTGAGATTGCAAAAGGAGTCAAGAGATAGACCAGGAGGAAAAGCTGGTTGTTTGGAAGGGCCAGGTAGATCTGTCTTTCTCAGATCGGCTGCTGCTGGCCCAAAACCAAATTTGCAGCAGCAGATTACCATCTTTGACCCTTCCAATTTGGTATTGATTGATCACACCAATTTACGTACAGTATAACAAGATGATCTCCAACACTAGCAGCATCCAATTGATGGCTCCGACGCATTCTCTGGAAAAGCGTGTCAATGATTACATGCGTCCCTTCCACACGGCGACCTGCCAGGAACACTTGATTGGGGCGCTGCAGCAACTGCCCAAATCGCCCACATTTCCGCAGGAAGAGTCCACCATTCGAGAACAAGTCGCTCTCCGATTGCTGCAAGAAGTCATTGTCATGGGAGCCCAAGAACAGGAAGCACTCGATGCCTGTCTCGTGGCATGTGGACCTCTGGAAGCTCTCTCGGCATGTGCCACGACGCTGCAAGAAATTGCCCAAAAGTACAACCAAAAGTCGTCCAAAAAGAAGAAAAGGGCTGCTTCGTCTGTAGAATCGCCGTCCATTTTGGAAACCGCACTGAGAACCATTCGACGCTGGCTCGTCAAGGGAGTCAGTTTCCCACCCGACTATGATCCCACCAATGGATACGAAGAACGATGTTGGGTAGAACAGGTCACCCTCACGCTCTCCAGTCACCTGTCACGCTATAACACCAACAATCAGCACTACAACTACAACTACAATCAGCAGCAACAGAATGCACAGAGTGCTAGGAACCAGGAGTATCTATCGCCCATCATTCAAGCGTGTCTGGAATCCTTGACCAAACTGGTGCTCCTGTTTCCCGTACAAATATCCAATGCCTGTCATGCATTGGCAGTGCAGTTACCTACTTGGGCCATTGGCTCGCGGTACAATCCACGCCTCATTGAAGGAGCCATTAGTATGGCACTCTATCAACAAGAAATTGAAGGATCTTCCTATTCGGCATCCTATTTCAAACTACTCGTACAACACATGGTCCGCAGTCGCAATCCCGACGACGTCGCTTTGGGACTCTACAAGTACCACGAACGACACTACCGTTCTCACGATTCCACCAACACCAGTACCAGTGCAATACAGCACCAACAACCCAAGGCACTCTGTCATTTGCTACTCCAACTGCATCGACAGACACTCTCGCCACGAGAATCCGCTCAATTGCTGCGCAGTGTCACCATTTCCAGCATTCCAAGACAATCTCATGCCACCAAGATTGCCACTACACAATTGACCGAACTATGGCAACGACACTTGTACCCGTACATGGAGCTGTCCTGTCGACCCATTCTAGTGGCGTCGCGACGGGTTCGAGAAGCATTTGGTCTTTTGTCTTTGAGAGCGGACTTGGGGGGAGTCTTGGCTCCCTGATTTTGACGATGTCTGGTGGGGCTCTGGTGTCTGGTGGGGCTGTGATGTCTGGTGGGGCTGTTGTGTTTGGATTGGAGGAGGTTTGGAAGCTGAAAGCTTGCGGTACCAGCTTGAGGAGGAGTACGAGGAGAACGAATCGGTTCATGTTGTTCGGCATGTTGCTCCGCGGTACTTTCGTCTGGTTGATATTGGGTGGAGTCCTCATAGGAATCGCGCGGATTCCTCCGGTTCCCTCGTTTCGAGTTTGGCGACTTGACGTTCCCATACACCGCATCGAGAATCCGAGTATCACTTTTCCCCTCCCGTTTTGCCTTTCGTCGTTTCCGGCGCTCTTCCTTTTCTCTCTTTTTGGCGCTCTTCTTTGGACTTTCGTTGCTGATGTTGAGATTGAGGTTGTTCACGTCTCTTCTCGTGCTGCGCAGCTTTTTTCCATTCCTGCTGCAACAGTTGTGATGCCTTTTGCTTTTGCTTTTTCCGACCCACAGCAGTGGTGCAATAGTGAGACGGGAATTCCGAGGCCGTCATGACCGACTGCAAAAATGTCACTTCATCATCGTCCATCAACGATCGTTCCTGATCAAGTTCATCAAATTGCAATTCCTGTCCCATTTTTTGTGCCAATCGTTCGGCAATCATCATTCCATCTTTGCGAATGGCTGGTATGGATGATTCCAACCGTACCGTGACACCTTCGAGGAGTCCAGCCACCAATTCGGACATGTGCGGCGCGTTTTTATGATTATTATTGTGGTGGCTGGTGGAATTGTTGTTGGTATCATCTTGTTGGAGTTGCAAAAAGCACATGCCACTCAACAAAAAGTTGGTCACGTGTCGTTGCAATCGATGATCGGTTTGTCGTACAAAGACTGCCAGCGACCATGTCGCAATGACTTCTTGGACATGCTTGGCCAACCAGGCATGATGTTGCAATGCTCCCTCTATCGAGTCCTCACTGTCGGAATCCAGGTCCTCTTCGCCGCTACTACTGTCCTCACTACTACTACTATCCTCTTCACTACTGCTCGTCGTGCTACTGCCTTCCGAATCGGCCGTGGACCGTGTCTTGTCACTTTTCTTTTTGGTGAGCAGTGGAGCGGGATTGGCCAATAGCGACGCGACACAATGACAGAGCAATCGATCGGGCCATTCTTCATTGAGCACCGAACTGGGCGACAACACGAGTAGTCGTA